GCAGCTCCTCACAAACCTCTTTACTCTTGTCTGGTTTTCTAAAATTCTAATAACCCCCCCCCCCCCCCCCCCCCCCCCCAGGATTTCCTCCGATATATAATTGTGTACTTGTCCTGAAAGCTGTGAAATCGAATAACTACGGGCTTTGTATGCACCTGATACTACCTACTACTTATTTAATGGAGATGCGTAAGGTTTCTTCCACATAACTTGACAAGGCAACCTGAACGCTCAAGTCTTGCTACTTTAGGTCATTGGAGCTACTTGGCTGTACAGTACGTATAGCTTAATAGAAGATGTATCTTGATCTTACTGTATATGGTTTTTTCGGAATATTATTATACTATTGCTTTGAAACTTGGAAATAACTAACCTAGGTTATATGTACTGTAGTATTTTGCTATCTACTCGGGCGAATTGTTAGGGAGGACATTGGCCCTATAGTCGGAAATTCCTCTATACACTGTACAATACACTGTTTCGCTCACCACATGCTGGAATTGCTCTGATTGGGCCAGTGAACAAGGCTTCGAGGCAGCATGGACCACTTATCACTCGCTATCTACTACGGTATACCTAGGTATGTAAAGAGTTCTGAGTTACTACCTAGGGTAGGTTAGTGTAGGCGGCAGAGGGTCGCGTAATGTACTGCGGCGCCCAACTCAATCGATCCCTACCTAACCCTACCCACTGGCTCTGCCTATAGGTACCTACTGGCCCAGCCTTGGAAGCTACCTACCGCCGACTCTGACTGACCGACCAGACAGCAGCCGTAGCTCACCTACTTACATATCACATATCCATCCACCCATCTCTAAACCATTCCATTTCAACGTCGTCACCGCGCCACGTCCCATTTACCATCACCACCACTTCCGACAAACAATTATCTCCACGTAGTGAACCATAATTACTATCCATACATTATCAGGTATCGCCCAAGACTGCCTCTACCAGCATTGATCTTGGCAGCTCTTTCCCCTTCTGCATCCCCCGCCTGCACCGGCCTCTTCCGCTACCGCCACGGCCATCATGGCACCCAAAAAGAACACATCCAGTGTGACCAACAAGGCCGGGGACAAGGGCAAGGGCAAAGCCAAAGCCACTGATGGCAAGGCTGATGAGCCTCAGAAGGACAACGATGCGCTTCCGCAGCCGGATAGTAAGAAGGGCGACGACAAGGACGATGGTAGGCTCGCATTGTCTATTTGCTCTGTCTTTTAAAAACACCCCCGCCCCCCGACCATGGCTAACTATTTCTGCAGCCACAGAGGAACTCAGTGAGGAGGACCAGCAGCTCAAGAGCGAGCTGGATATGCTCGTCGAGCGCTTGAAGGTAAGCACTCGCCCGTCTGTTCCCGTTCCCTATCCGCACCCTGTGACGAACCCGCCGCTGACCATCTATCTAGGAATTAGATGCCTCACTATACAAACCCTCTCTGGAGGCTATGAAGACCTCAATCAAAACTTCCACCTCCTCCATGACTGCGGTTCCGAAACCCCTCAAACTCTTAAGACCACACTACGAATCACTAACAAAGCTATACGAAACCTGGCCCGAGGGTGACGACAAGGCATCTTTGGCCGACGTGCTCTCCGTGATTGGTATGACCTTCTCGGACGAGGATTGTCAAGATACTCTAAAATACAGGTTGCTATCCCCTTCAGAGGATATCGGGTCGTGGGGTCACGAGTACACCCGGCACCTGGCCTTGGAGATTGGCGAGGTATACGCGAAGCGAGTTGCAGCGGATGAGTACGTGGATGACCTTGTAGATCTTGCCCTGCTTCTCGTTCCACTCTTCCTAAAGAGTAACGCAGAAGCCGATGCCGTCGATTTGATGAGCGAGCTGGAGATTATTGAGCAGCTACCCGGCTTTCTTGACGAAAACACATATTCCCGGGTCTGCTTATACCTCGTCAGCATGGTCAACCTACTGACTTTCCCCGAAAATAAACAGTTCCTTCACGTTGCTCATGATATATACAGAACTTACGGCGAACATACCCAGGCCATGGTAATAGCAATACGGCTGAATAATCGTAAGCTAATCGTCGATGATTTTAAAGCTACAAAAGACCCAGCCCTAAGAAAACAATTGGCGTTCATGGTGGGCCGCCAAAAAATCGTCTTGTACTTAGACAAAGACGAGAACATCTCCGAGAAGGATGCAAACGAAATCGAGGACGCCCTCACCAACATCAAACTTTCTGAATATTTCAAGACACTGGGCAAGGAGCTCAATATTCTAGAACCCAAGAGTACCGAAGATATCTACAAGAGTCACCTAGAAAGCAGCCGTGTAGCTGGTATGACCAACCTCGACTCTGCTCGGCATAACTTGGCGGCTGGCTTTGTCAATGCCTTCGTCAACGCCGGCTTCGGTCACGACAAAATGATGTTACACGGCGATGAGAAAGATGCCTGGGTTTGGAAGACCAAAGATGAGGGTATGATGTCGACGGTTGCTTCCCTGGGAACTTTGCTCATGTGGGATATCGAAGGCGGTCTTGACGTCATTGATAAATACACTTACGCACAAGAACCCCAGATCTTGGCTGGCGCTATGTTAGCTATTGGCATTCTGACCTCAGGGACTCGGGTAGATAGCGATCCCGCACTGGCGCTATTAGCAGATCCAGATCGGTTGGAGCATCAGAGCCCACTTGTACGGGTTGCTAGTGTTATGGGCTTGGGTCTTTCATATGCCGGGTCCCGCAAGGAGGAACTCCTAGAATTCCTTTTGCCTATGGTTTATAATCCGAGCCTAGACATCCAGATGAATGCCATGGCTGCGCTGTCACTGGGTCTCATTTTCGTCGGTTCCGCCAACCCCGAAATCAGCGAGGCCATAGTGATGCTGGTGATGGATGGAGAGTACAAAACTAAGCTGGCGGACAAGTGGGCCAGGTTTATTAGCCTTGGCCTGGGCCTTCTATACTTCGGCCGTCAGGAAGAAGCTGAAGTCATGTTAGAAACGCTGAAGGCTGCGGATCATCCAGTGGGTCGTCCTACCTCTGTTCTTACTGGGATTTGTGCCTGGGCCGGTACTGGTGCCGTTCTAAAGATTCAAGAGCTGCTACATATATGCAATAACCACATCGAAGAATCCGAAGACAGGAAAATGGATGAGCTGGAGCAGATTTATGCTGTTCTAGGAATTGCTTTAGTCGCCATGGGCGAGGACATAGGCCAGGATATGGTTCTACGTCAATTTAGCCATTTGATGCATTATGGCGAGTCCAACATTCGGCGCGCTGTGCCTTTGGCGCTGGGCTTGATTAGCCCTAGCAATCCTCAAATGAAGATATATGATACGTTGTCACGGTACAGTCACGATAACGACAATGACGTTGCAATCAACGCTATTTTCGCCATGGGCCTCTTGGGCGCCGGCACCAACAACGCCAGATTAGCCCAGCTTCTGCGGCAACTTGCTAGTTATTACCATCGAGATCAAGAGTCTCTATTCATGGTTCGTATAGCACAAGGCCTGTTGCACATGGGTAAGGGCACAATGACCTTAAACCCCTTCCACACTGACCGCCAAATCCTTTCGGGCGTTTCGACGGCTGGTCTGCTGGCAGTTCTCGTCGCCATGATCGACGCTAAACAGTTCATTACTTCCAACATGCATTATCTCCTCTATTTCCTAGTTACCGCTATGCACCCTCGGTTCCTTGTCACTCTCGACGAAAACCTGAAGCCACTGACGGTCAATGTACGTGTCGGTCAAGCCGTCGACGTCGTTGGCCAGGCGGGTCGCCCCAAGACCATTACTGGATGGCAGACGCAAAGCACCCCCGTACTCTTGGCGTATGGTGAGCGTGCGGAATTAGAAGATGAGGAATATATCAGCCTCAGCAGTACTTTAGAAGGACTTGTCATCTTGAGAAAGGTAAGTGCATCGACTCGTTGTCTTTGTTCGAATCGCAGCTAACATACTTCCAAAGAATCCGGATTGGGAGGTAGAAAAATAGCATGCTCCCCTTGTTCTTCGATGATTCTTAGAAGAGTTTATTGCAGATAGTAACTCAGAAGCTGCTTGGTGGGGAAGAGAAGTTGTGATGATAAAACGACCATCATTTCGACTGCTCTCCATCGTCGAATTCTTTTCGAGGTGGACGATTATTATGGGTCAAGACAAACGATGATGAATGTATTTTTAAGGTGACACTGAGTAAAGCACGGGCTTGACGAATGTGCATTCGGCAGGACGATGGAAGAAATATAGACAGACTGTGCATGTGTTAATGGCTGCTGTTCTAATTGTGCAAATCGTAGATTCAGTGAAACTAGAAACTGTAGAAGAATCGTTCTTTTATTTATCCCTTGGTGCTTTTCAAAGTCTACCCCAACCAGCCTCTCTCATATATAGTGTTATATTAGCTATACGTTGCGCTGCATTGCTCCACTCGTTCCATTTCCCTCACTTCCTCGAAGGCCGGGCATTCTTCTGCCTGCGCAACTCCTTCTGCTTGCGGTCCTTGCGGATGTCGTCCGCATTCCTGAGCTCCTTCTTATTGCCGTCGCCGTCGCGGAAGCGGCCGACGCGCTTCTCCTTGGCCTCGGCCACGCGCTTCTTGCGCGCGTGGTAGTCGTCGCGGTACTTGTCTGCCGCCTTGGGCGCCTTCTCCTGCTTGTGCTTGTACCGCGCGCCGCCGCCCAGGATCGTGGTGGCACCGGAGCTCCCTGGTCCGCGCCGCTCCGCCTCGCCTATGCGCGGCAGACGGCCGACGCGCTGCTCCTTCTTCCACCTCTCGAAGCGGCCGCTCTGGAACGTCGAGGCGATCTTCACGCCGGACTCGCCGCGGACGTACTTCACGCCGCTGGTGCTGCCGGCGCTCTTGGGCTGTTGCATCCGGCTGCCGTCTTCGTCGTTGTTGCGAGAGACGTATTTGTTGCTCTTCTTGTCCCAGCGTAGACCGGCGCGCGTTGGCGCGCCGAAGGATTTCGCGCCCTCGTCGTTCGTCAGGTCGAAGGTTGCGCTGCGCGCTGCTTCGAAGAAGTTCCCGCTCGCGTTGGATTGCCCGCCGGAGTGCACGCCGTAGCCGCGCGTCTCGGCGGCGTTGATGGTGCGCGGCTCGTAGGCCATGAATTCGGGGTCGCGGAAGTCAGAGGACTTCTTGGCGGCTTTGCTGCTTTGGCGAGATTTGTTGCCGGGTCCAGGGTCCGTGTGGTTGGATATTGTTACCTCCATTTCGGAGTCGGAGTCTATGGGTTCTGGTATCTCCTCGTCATCGTCTTCATCATCGTCTGATGCCTCCTCGGTTTCGCCAACTTCTACACCAAACTCGTCGGCATCTTCTGCGTCATCAGCATCCTCGTCTGAGGCTTCGTTGGATTCCGTTTCCTTGTCTTCTCCCCCAGTCGCTGTTCTCCGGGATCCGAAGCGCTCTCGGATCGACTTCATGACTTCCGCCTCCTTGCTCCGTCCGCCCTTGGCTCCCCTGCCAATTTCGAATATTGTTTCTTGCGGTTTAAAGCCACCAATCTTGGCGAGCATTTCCGCCCGCTCATCCTCGATGGCGCTGGCGTCATCACCATATAAAGGATGGACCTGGGAAAAGCCTTTGGAGGCAACTACTTCTCGCGCCCGACGCGCACTTTGGCTAGAGGCGCTGTTGCGAGTCTTGAGATAGAGTTTCTCAGCCTTATCGGAAACACGTAGTAAATTGGCAAGATCGGAGTCGTCCGCCAAGACCTTATTGAGCCATTCTGTGTAATTCTCGACCTTGCTTCGGACTGGAGCACCGACGACCATGTCTGATGTGAAACTCGGCGTTCCTTTCCCCTCCTTGCCAAGAATCAATTTCTGCCCGAGAAATAGTTGAAGATCCAGGAGGTATGGGACGTCGGTATCCTTTACAAGACTAAAGGCCCATCCACGCATACCTGCTCGAGCGACACGTCCTACTCTATGGATATACAACTTGGGAGTTGCGGGAAAGCTATAATTGATAGCGTTGGAAAGGAGCGGTATGTCTATACCTCTCGCGGCAACATCGGTAACCACCAATATGTTAGATCGTCCTCTTCGGAAATTGTCAACCTGCGTTTTTCTTGCTGTCTGGTCTAAAGAGCCATAGACGTATGAAACAGCAAAACCGGCTGCAGTAAGCATCGTCTGAAGGAACTCTACATGGTGTGAGGTGGACGTGAAGACGATGGTGGCGTGAGGCGAGGGTTTCTGCTTCTCGTGAGAGGCGTCAGGGCCCCTTTTCCTTTTTTTCGAAGAGTTTTCGGATAAGTCTGTAACTCCCTCCGGTAAGCCGGTAGGTATCTTGATAACGTCATGCAAAATATGTAGGAGGGCACCGAGTTTTTCGTCCCCTTTAACACTAAAGACAGCCGCCTCGAGATCTGGGCTGACCTTTGTGTCGGCGTCTAGTCGTACTAGGGTAGGGTCCTGACATCCAGCTCTAACAAATTCGGTAACAGAGGAAGGTAGCGTGGCTGAGAAAAGTAGCGTCTGGCGAGTTGGCGGCAGAGAATGAAGAATCTCTTGAAGTTGTGCCGCAAATCCCATCTCGAACAGACGATCTGCCTCGTCGAAAACAACATATTGCATCTTAGCTAGACCCGTAACATTCAAGTTCATTTCGACTAATAAATGCAAAAATCGACCGGGAGTCGCAATTATGATATCTGGATTCGCCGTCATGTTTGCGAATTGCTCGTTCAGTGAGTCACCTCCAACACACAACATCGTTTTAAGATCCGTTCCACGTGTAAAGCTCTTCGTGACGCTCAGAGTCTGGATAGCGAGCTCACGGCTAGGACTTAATATCAAGGCGCGCGCCCCCATGTTTGGCGAATGCGCTTTCAGAGTTTGAACCATAGGAATTAGGAAAGCGGCAGTTTTCCCCGAACCCGTCCTGGCCATAGCTAGGAGATCTTTTCGTTGCAAAATTAATGGTATCGTCTTTCGTTGAATAGGTGTCGGAACTCTGAATCCCACCCTTGTAATTGCTTTGAGAAGATTTCCATTCAAACCCATAGATTGAAAACCTCCACCCTTCTTAAGTGTCGTGCCCTTGAGGTTCGAGTTCTTCCGAAACGCAGCAGCCTGCTTCAACGCGATGAAAGCCTCATCGTCATCGCCTTTGTCGCCATCATCGCCATCGAGGAGATCTTCAACGTCGAAGCTGAATCCATCTTGCAGCTCAGCATGTTTCGTCTTCGCCTGTGAGCTCTCATCCCCATTAGTGAGCAGAGACCCTAGAATGTCGACCTCATTCTCAGAAAGCGCGGGGGAAGCGGCGCGAGGCATTTTGAACATAGAAGCCTTGTATTATATGATTCTAGGTGAAGATCATTTAAGAAACAGTGCGCGACATCCCCTGGTCTTCAACTTGATATTGAGGTGGATGTTACATGGAGGCTCACATGGGGGCCAGAACAGACAACTTTTTTGGTTATCAGCAAATGCTTGGACTCCTGATAAGATGCCGGACCCACTTGGCTGCAACAGGTACAGGAAGCTAAAAATACAGCCCCACCTCCAGAATCGCATTCCAACCCAGACCTGGCGCCAGTTGGATGACCGACCCTGTTTCCCCAGACTAATCCTTCTCCCTCGACTACTTTCCGAACTCACGAGACCAATTCAGCGTCCAGTCCGGCGGAAAGAGGAGGCGTCAAAATGTCCTCGAAAGATTCAGACCTCCCGCTGAAAGATGACAAAGATGCACTCGACTCTCTGGAGGCCGAGTCCAAGGAGTTTGACAAGGTAAGTCGGAAAACCGACTCGTACAGTACTGGTGCTACAGGTAGACTGACCTGATAACAGGATGCCGAGATAGACCGTATCTTGAAGGCCTTCCGACTAGATGCGTAAGTCTCATCAGATATCTTCCCAAGCCTTGTACTGTTTAAACTACGTGTTATTAACGAAGCCCATGCAGCTACGCCGTTCTTGACCTGCAACCGGGTGTACCCGAGTCCGATATCAAGATTACATACCGCAAGAAATCGCTACTAATCCACCCGGACAAGACCAAGAACCCTCTAGCCCCCGATGCCTTTGATCGGTTGAAGAAGGCTCAGACCGAGCTGATGGATGAAAAACATCGAGAGCGACTTGACGAGGCCATTGCCGACGCCCGTATGCTGCTGATCCGCGAGAACAAATGGACTGTTGACAGCCCGGAGCTCAAAACCCAGTCATTCGCCAAGAAGTGGCGCGACAAGACGCGCGAGGTCCTTATCGAGAACGAGGTGCGCCGTAAGCGGCAGGCGAAAGCCCAATTGCAGGAAGAAGGCCGCGAGCAGCGCAAGGTCGACGAGGAGCTTGACGCCCGCAAGCGCAAGCGTCAGCATGAGCAAGACTGGGAGGCGACCCGCGACCAGCGCATAGACAGCTGGCGCCAGTTCCAGAAGGGCAAATCAAGCGGCGGCGACGATGGCAAGAAAAAGAAGAAGAAGCTCAAGCCTATCGGCTGAAGATGGAAGGCTAAGGATTTGGTTTTTTTACAGAGGCTGAAACACTGCACACGACTATGATGAAGAATTATGAACGGCGATAAGGACGGAATCAATTTGTGGCAGATATTCTCTACACCGGCTGAGAAGTGAGTTCTAATGATAGACCATATCACTTTTAACGAACCTAACTCCCTTAGTTCTCTTGACGCTTCATCGCGCGCCTATCGCATCTTCCCTTATCTCATCGGTCGTCTCACTCTTGTGACGACTTACCTTCATTACCGTGGACTGATCAGCGAGGTATGTTTTGATTGACTATTTTGATCATGATATATATGGCCAGTGAAACATACTTGTCTCAATGAAGGTGACTTGTTTCCTTTTTATTAACCTAGATGGTACCGGTTTACACGGCTCTAAATCTTAGTTGAGTCGTACTATGAGACTCCAAGAACTTCAGCCTGAGACAACTGTCTACCCTATGGTCGATGCTTCTGCTTGTACTGGATGAACCTAGAAAGGTTCAGGCTTGCTTCCTCCGCCCGAGCTCGAAGCTCACTTGACTTCCTCTTATCTACCGTCTTAACCATCGCCTTCACCTTTGGTACTGTCGCCTCTATGTGCTGCAAAAAGTTGTCCTTCCAGAACACCTCTCGGTCATGGGTGCTCTTCTCATCGCCATAAATATCAAACAACTGGTTGAGTGCCTCAACGGAGTCCGCGGCGGGTGTTTCAGGCAGCGCAGCAACCACTGTGACGAGGAAAACACCGATTTCGCGGTTCAGGGCGACTGGTGCTGGGTCGAGAGCTAGCTGGCCGAGTACCCCTATACACTTCACCCCTAGGCTTTGGAAAGGGTCTTCTGTGCTACCGTCTAGACTTTTTGACGCGTGATAGAGTGATATGAACTTCTTGTGCTCATCTCCTTTTAAAAACGATTGCTCATGCAATGTTCGAGCAACCGCCCACGCAAGGCTCGTCACGATAGTGGCCAAGCTAACATCAGATGTATTGCTACCCAGGACCGGCGCTACTGCATTGTTCCACATGAGTTTCGCCACCGGTATCCAGGCTTGTAAAATAGCAGCATTTGCACCTTCGCTAAAGTCAATGCAGCTTACTGTCCATGCAACATTGCTGAGCGCAGTAAGAGCGTGGGTGCGAATTAGAGTCGATAATTCGTCCGTTCCCTGGATGGTCTGGAAGAGTTTCACTGCTTGTGGGATCGCTTTCTGAATTAATTCCCTCAATGTTGGCAAATCGTCGATGCCCGAGGGCGCATCTGCATCGTCGTCTGCTCCTGTTACCATGTCCATGTCAGCTTCCATTTCGTCTTCATCCATCTCATCATCTTCATCAGCCAATTTTTCGTCGCCAGAGATGTCTTCTTCATTATCATCTGCATCCATCGCATCGTCTTCACCGTTTAATCCTTCCCGAACTGGTTTCTTCGCTCGGCTCCCTTTGCCAAGTGAATCCTGTAGGGCCGTTCCAATTGATGCTAGGACTTCGAGTGCCATTTGTAGGATGTCTGCCGGACTCCCCGAGCTATTTCCATTTGTCATATCATCTTTCAGGCTGGTACGCTCCAGAGTCTGAGATAGTGTGGGGACGAGGATAGCATCGCAAGCCCCATCTCTGCCGGGATTCTGGTCGTTCCAGTCCATTACTGAGAATATATTGTGGAGCACACCACAAGCAAAAGCAGCTTTGAAGCCATCGCTATTCTTGAAAGTCATCAGGTGCTTGTAGCATTGATGTGTGCTGTCGCCGAGAATGGCTTCCACGAACTGGCGGTTATCCTCAGATAGAGTGATCATGCATGAAAGTGCACTTCTAATTACTGATGCTGTGGTGGAGTCATATGATACCAAGGTGAAGAGAAACCGCAGAATTTCTTGGTTCTGGCTGGACGCATCAAGCGCTTCATCTTGAGCTGCGGCCAGGGCTGATATGATTTCGGTGAGCGCCTCGGCAATACACCAAACGAAATTCTGCTCGGCTTTGGACCTCTTGCTAAAAGCGGCATTTGGCGAGTTTATAGCTTCGGTAATCTAACTAACGTTAGCAAAAGTTGTAGATATTTTAAAAGTCAACAATGAGTTTTAGGAGATTCCTTACTTTTGTAGAGGCATGTTGAACAGCAGTGAGCACATCTATCCGGTATAAATGTACACAGAAGTCGGCCTCTTCCTCGGCTGTGAGAACCCTCAAGATTTCCCAGCCGGCCGCCCTGCTTTCTAAGCTTGCGTCTGTCAAGGTCTCTGTGAGAAGAATGTGAACGATCTGCTCCCGTAACAGTAACTTCCGGCACTTGGTATCCTGGACTATATTGGCTATAGCACCAGCAGCGGTAGTGCGACTCTTAGGGTCGGAGCTCTGGAGATCCTTGATGACTGGGAGGATACTCTTCTCGCGGATGGCAGCCAGTTCAGGGTCTGAGGGCGGCTTCACAGGCTTTGCGATAGGGTCGGAGCGCTGGCCGCCTTTGGCTCTATTCCGCCTAGACTTGGCCATGTCGATTATTTGAATTTTACACTAGAATGCAATCTGTAGACCCAAAAAGCCTTAACGGCGACTTCGAACTCACTCGTAATCGTTGTTCGTGACGCCGCCTTGAAGTGGTTGAATAATATTCAAATTCGGAAAAATTTCCAGGGATCTAAGTACATGTGATGCCCCGCTACAGACCGTACCTGTTAATGCTGCCCCACGGTTGTCTCGTTTTTTTGCCTGGAGGCCGACGAGGCGCAGAAGCTGTGGTGGGGGCTTTGGTGAAGAAGATCCACAGGCTGTCTCGGGCACCCTGGGCAGACCTGGGCAGACCCCAAACGCCTGTACCACTTAGACAGCCCGCTAGCCCACCCGGGAAATAGGCACTGACGGTCCCCTAGCCGGTCCCTACATGATAAGCGGCTCAGGCATCCGATAGTGGATGCATCCCCCATCAAATGCGGCATGGCTGAGGGTCTCTGGAGCTTCTGCGACGGCGCACGAGGGCCAGTTTGATACAACCTCCTCCGCTATTCCTCTTCCTCATCGTCACCGGGCTCTTATCACTCATCTAGGCAGTGTAGACATCGGGAGGTGTAGCCGCCAAGTGTCGCGAATGGGCAATTGGGTCCTCGGTCTTTTCGGTTTCAGCCAGAGCTTTCTGGCCATTGATTCCGGAAGAATACCCAGGTAAAGACACGCCATCTACCTACATCAGCCGGTCCCTGCATCAGCTTAAGCAACCAAGCTCCATCCTACACCCTCCATCCACCCTGTCCATCCACCCCGAAGCTCGGGCCGCGACATGTGAAATGCCGCTTTGAACTCTTCAAAGCCGCTGATAACCACACAATATCGGCTGACCTGTCTACCTTTTTTCGCAATTGGTTTTGCTACGGAAGACTCTTGATGCGTGGATGGAGGAAAATGCGGAGCTTCTTGATGAGCGACGAGGAGCTCGGCAAGAAGGATGACGACCACAAGCTCGTCGGCGGCGCCCGACAGCGGCATTCGCCTTCCTGGCAGCCATCTCGCGGCCCGCCACGACGCTCAATCAAGCGTATCGGTCTAGTGTTGGCCGTAGCCCTTGTCGTCTACCTCTTCGTTCACAACATCCCCAAACTCGGCCCCGACGATCGAATGCGCCGCCCCGAATACGCACGTGTTCCCGGCCGCCCTGCCTCGCGCCTTGGTCATTCGTCCACTGAGAATGTCATGCATCCCCCAGACCCCGATGCGCAGGCGCAGACACGGATACTTGCACCAGATACCACGGAGAGGAACTTCAATGGGCCCTTCAAATTTCTCAACCTAGCGTCGACGCTGCAGGCGATTTCAAATTTGAGAGGGAGCCAGCCGGAAAACAAAAACATTCTATTCGCAGCCGCCAGTCTCAAAAGTGCCGCCACTCTGTTGCCAATGGCATGCCAGATGGGGTTAGGAACGAGGAACTACGTGCACTTTGCTCTCCTCGGTCGAACCAGCATACGTATGCAACAGTTGTGGGATATCAATGGAATTGACAAATCCTGTATCATCATCTTCCATGGTATGACGTCTCAAAATCACTCTCTTTTAGGCATTGCGGTACTGTCTGGCTGACTATATGAAAGATGCTCGCCCGAACTATGCTGAGATTTCGACGGATGGAAGACTAGAGAAATCTGTCTTCCGCGGGCTTCGTATGTTGAGTCCATTGGAATACTCACTTATAATTCGATAAGCTTTCACTAATTCAATACAGACCATATCCATAACTATATGCACCCCCAAGTTATCATTGTGGATGGGACGAATAATGAGGAGACTTTCTTTACTAGGGGACTGAAACAACATCTAAAGGTGTCTAAGACTTCTTTAATAGAATTGCCTCGCTTTGCACCGAAGTCTCTTGATTGGATAACGAGACTGGACAGCGCAGCATTGCGAAGTAAGACAATCGGTGGATTCTCTCAGACGTATCAATCGTTTACTAACCAGTCACAGTGTGGAATACAATAAAAATCGACATCTTGATTCAAGCTACCCCGAAGTCTTCAGGGAGCTTGATAAGGCTGCTGAGGTCTCTCAGTACAGCCGACTACACATCGAGTGCCATCCCCCACATCACCATTGAACTTCCTTATCAGATTGACACGAACACCAAGAGGTTCCTTGATTCATTTGTCTGGCCACCTTCACATGTGTCCAACCCAACCAACGAGCGATACATCTCCCTAAGACGCAGATTATCTCGACAGAAATCTACGGAAGAGGAAGCTTCGACACGTTTTTTCGAGTCTTTCTGGCCTGCACAGCCGCAAAAATCTCATGTGCTTGTACTCTCGCCGCATGCAGAAGTCACACCTCAATACTTTAATTGTAAGTCTAAGGTTACTAAGCTTATTCATGACCGTTCTAATCGAATACTGGCAGATCTGAAATATACACTTCTTGAGTACCGCTATTCCGATATGTCTAGATTTCACAACTGGGGTCAGCATCTGTTTGGAATCAGTTTAGAACAGCCCTCAACTACTCTCGATGGCGAAAAGTTGTTCAATCCTCCATTATTCCAACATCCCGAGGAAATCAGTGCTGAAGGCACACCAAACCCTTTTCTGTGGCAGACACCTACTAGTAGCGCGGTGCTCTTTCTTGGCGATAAATGGATGGAACTCCATGACTTCGTCTCAAGAACGATGCAAGTCAAAGAAAACTCCGATGTTGTGCCAACATTACTCTCAGAAAAGCTCGTCAGCAAGCAGCACCCGTCTTGGCTAGAGCATGCTTTGAGGCTGGCTCGTGTCAGGGGTTATTGGTTCCTGTACCCTGGCAAAGAAGTGGCAGAGCATGTCGCAGCAGTCCATGGTGAATTATATGATATACCTGAGGAATATACGGGCTTCAAAACCTCAGTTTCCGACGACGCAAGCGATGAGGCGGTAGGAAACATTCGACAAAAGGTTCGATGGGCGCCCGAGGTCCAGCTATCTTCGCTGTCTGTGCTTGACGCACTCCCGAATGATGGGAATCTCTGGCCGCTCACCGCGCTACCGATCGCGGATTGGCAAGGTACGGAAGTGAGCCCACAGGATTTCCGCACCCGCTCATATGAATACGAGGTCCTGTTCAAGGGGTCTGTTGGCAGGTGTGATGCCGAAACTGGCAAGGGACAGAAGGCTTATGAGACGGCGTCGACGCAGGATTTATTCTGCAATCTGCCCTAAGCTGCGGACTAATTGGCCATAGCCTCGAGTTGTTGATCTCGGAAACTGATTATTCGTTCATCTGAATAAATTTCGAAATTTGTCGTGCGCACACGGATGCACGCGGCCCCGTGATACCATGTACATAAAACAGCATCGCATAACATAGGATAGCATAGCATTATCTCTCGGTGTCTCTTATAAGGGGGATTAGTTATCAATTATCTCGTTCTTTCCATCTCCTTGTTGTCTCTCGTATGTAATTAGGCGGTGTGTGATCACCAGAAGGTCATATACCGGTACACTTGTTCATCTAACCTTGTATCCGGTCGACGACTAGCAAGGCCACGCACGTCCCGAATATCGAGAAGGCTACAAAGGACATTATAGACTGTTGCATCGTGGTTAGTACGGGTCAGCTCTCGTGGAATCTTACTCGTCATATATATATTATATATATCTCCCGCGATCTAACTATAAAAGAAATGGAAAAAAAAAGTAAAGGAACAGGAAAGGCAAGTAAGTAAGTGCATACCTGCGTCCGCCATCCGCTCTGCACAATGGCCACCTTCCGGCTGTACTTGTTGACGGTCTTGATGTAGTTCCCCAGACCGGCGACCAGGCAGGCCACGGAGAGCAGCCAGAAGACGAGGCCGAGCGGCTGCGCTATGTGCTGCTCTAGCGCGGTCGGGGCCGAGCGCAGGTGGAAGGATACTGCGATTGCGACGGCCACGATGGACATGGTGACGCTTAGTCTGAGGGAGGCGAGGAAGGCTGGGATACATGTTAGTTTGCTTTTTTTTTTTTTGGTTGTGGTCGTGGTCTGATCTTTGTAAAATTGGATTTGTTGGATGGATGAATGAGGTCAATGAGGGGGACTCACTCCTCTCGTTCGCGCAGTGGTCCCGCGCATCGCTGTTCTCGTTCTCGAAGAGCAGCGGCCCGAAGAGCGGCCACGTCGTGAACGTGTTCTGGCCCGCGAAGGCGGGCCCGTAATCCTCTATTTCGACGGGGACGCAGGAGAATGGGCCGAGACAGGATGAGAATGAGAATGCCCTCCTGGGCTCATCTTCTACGTCTATTATGGGAGCTTGCATTCTGTGGTGTTATCATATGTTTCTATGTGCCTTTTGAGCTTGCTCTGGTCGAGGACAGTTGATTTGGTCTTTGGTTTGTTTTCTATGATAAGGTCGTGGTATTTGAGGCTGCTTAGATATCTTGGCGTTGCATGGTTTCTTTTTCTCGGGTGTTTTTGTCTGTTGATAAAGATGGACATAGATAAGTATGTAGGTAGTGAGTGAGTGAGAGGCGAGGAGGTAGGTACAGTAGAGGCGGTACTTCACGATGGTGCACATCCCCGCCGACCCACCGAGCCATGCAGCTTCTGTGGGGGGTACCCATGCGCTAGTGTAGACGTCAGATGCTTACCATCACCATTAGTGACTAGTCGACTGGCTCGGACTGGCTGGTCATCTTCTGTTCGGTATTATCGATCATCTGGGGCTCTGTCTGGGGAAGCTTATAGTCTTCAAATTCAATCTACCTAGGTGCCCCAGGCCTTTGTACCAAGTTGTGGAAGATTATTACTTGCATGTAATATGTGGGTATCAGATCTACAGCACCCTTGGTTACATTATCGGGAGTTTTATGGTGTCGTAATTACCTAACATCTTTCTACTAGCCATATATACATGTGATCCGTGTGGCTGGCTGGCAGGCAGGTATCGTGAGATGCACCACAATGTACTAGACATGCAGAATGATAGCAAGCACTGTGCCTACTGTATGGGGCAGCCAAGGAAGAAAAAGGAAGGGATCCCTCGTGATGGTGTGGTCATTGAGCGAAGTCGCCATTGGTTTTACCACATGTGTAACTCTGCGTTCAACTATGAATCGAAGTTCAAGTGACCAGTTCAACTATCTATTCCGTTAGGTGCCTCTGTGACTACGGCCTTGAACGTTTTTGTTTAGTTTGATCTTGCTCTCACTGTTTATTCTTCAAAGGCTGCCCTTCCTGGCTTATCCCGTCGGGGTGGTAATAATATGCCCAGATATCTTGGCCTTCGATAGCCTCCGTAAAGAGTGTACATGCGACTTTCGCAACGGGCTTCAAAGTTTCAGATACGCTGACCGCCACTCCTCGTAGATGACTTCCGATCTTCCTCTGGCTTTCAGTAGTGGACAGCCTGAGGCGCGACGACATCGCATTCGATTGGCTGTCTACGTATGATGGGACGTAGACTAGCTCATCGCTATCTCTTGACAATAGGTTGACCTAAGACCTGTCAGAAAACCATGATAGGCTACACAAACTTTGCGGTTTGACTACATCATTGTGACGCTTACCTCGCTTGGGGTTCGTTCCATTCTGCTGAGACTGTGACGCCAACTAGGGTTGTAAGTCAGATGAGTTGACTGCTCTTCCTCGCATAGCATGAGGTGGAGGTTCCGGGGACCTTATCATAGAGTCAATGGTCAGATATTAATACCTCGATACCCGAGGCTAGGGTGAATCAATTCACATAGTTGAACACCGTGATTATGGCCGGCTGGGGCCCCACTTTGATCGGCCGAGTCTCTCAGGGTAGGTTGCCCAAGGAGAGCGTCTCTTCTCAAAATAAATGTCATACAGCATAGATTTGGGCGCTCTAAGTGAAGGATTCCTCCTGGTTTCGGCCATTTTCTGTTTCGCCGACCGTGGTACTTAACAACGACAAGTCAGCCATGCCCGACACCCGATAGATCTACTACATGTACTCACATCGTTGGTAGCATATTTGTTGTTTACGTACCATCTCGCTCCTGAATCCTTTTGGCTAGCATTGCGTTTTGATACCAGATTCAGGTTCAACTCCGCGGGACAAGCGACGAACAAACCTGTGGAGGGGTAGGCTATTCGTTCAGTTGAAGTCTGTTGTTGGTCAATTCGTTTTGCAAATCATGAAGCACAGCCTGCGTACTCTTTCAATGCACTACACCCCACCAACGATGGCAGTGAAACAAGACCGATGTCTTGGGGCTAGCCTTGGTATTTCTAGGATCCGAAGTATATGTGTAGAAAGAAATCAAATCCCCTCAACGTGTTGTGAGCCGGTATTGAATTCATCCTCTATATCGAACACAAAAGGGAATTCAGATTCCCAGACAGTCTATGTTAAACATGGTTGAACATGGTTTGGAAGAACGGGATTCGGATGTGTCCGTGGGACGGCTGAGGTAATGTATCATTGCGCCATCTTTAAGCCCGGCCTATATCCTTAGTAGGGATGCTCTGGGTAGGAATGCAAACAAGTGAAGTCCCCGCGTATCTGGCTGGATTCGGCTATCTTGGGTGCACAAGTCCAGGTCCCGTCCGGTAGTCTGTAGATATTTTAAGATTGATGGGTGGTTCGTAGTTACAAAGTAGGTGCTCGTAGTAACTCTCGGGTGTCGGGCATCGGTCATCTCACTTGGGAAACTGCCGACTTACAGTAACTGTCGAGCTTTGGCAAATTTCCAGATATGGCATAGTACCTAGGTACATACTTTCGTAGCTCCCAACTAACAGTTACTGTAAGAAGGATTGCCCACGGGGCACACAGCACAGCACAGCTTGCCAACTGTAAAGCGTGCGCAGATACACTTTCCACACTTACACTAAATATCTACGGATATGAAGCTTCCCGAGTTGTGTGTGTAGGCAGGTACTACGTAATGTCTAATAATAATACCGACATTACCTGGCAATGGGAAGTGATTGGAGGACATACATACGTAAGCATCTCCAACCCCGTACTCGGGTTGGTACAGGCAGGTCGGTAGTATGGAGCAATACTATGCACATACATATACCTATGTATCTGCTATGTACCTACTGTCGCTACTCTAGGTACATGTAGCTAGCTACCGAGGCTATCAAGGCGGCCAACGCCAGTCCGGATACTTTCATATACCTACTACCTAGGTAGGTAAGTAGTTACGCGCAGTACTACTCCTAGCGCATCTAACTGGTATTATATCTAGGGGCCCTGCACCTCCTTCTGCAGTACCTAGGTAGGTGCTAACTTACATTTACATAAATCCCCATTGCGTGTATCGTGGGCGATAAAGTCTCCCTAGCCGCCTCCCTTTCGCCCCTCCCGATCCCTCGATCCCTCTCCCTCTCCGTCTCCGTCTCCCATTTTGCACGACCAACGCCGGCACCGCGAATATTCCTTGGCCACAATGTCGTCTTCTACGAGCACAGTCACGCAGAGCGCGCCCTCGGCGGACGCTATTCTGAAGTTATTTCCAGACATCGATACGAGTTCTGCCGAGCTCGAGGGTCACGATGCCGAGCAGATCCGTTTGATGGACGAGGTCTGCATTGTCCTAGACAACGACGACAACCCCATAGGCACTGCTAGCAAAAAGCTCTGTAAGCTCTACGAATCATTCCGGCGCAATAATGCCATCGAGCCATACCCGTGCTAACGCAACGACCCTGCCAGGCCATCTCATGACCAACATAGACAAGGGTCTTTTACACCGCGCCTTCTCGTGCTTCCTCTTTGACGACCAAAACCGATTGCTACTCCAGCAGCGAGCCACCGAAAAGATCACATTTCCGGACATGTGGACTAACACATGTTGCTCGCACCCCCTCGGTATTCCCGGCGAGACCGGCTCGAATCTGCCCGATTCCGTTGATGGAGTTAAGCGTGCAGCCCAGCGTAAGCTTGACCAAGAGCTTGGTATCAAGACGGAACAGGTTCCTTTCGACGACTTCCGCTTCTTGACCCGTATTCATTACAAGGCCCCTAGCGACGGCAAGTGGGGCGAACACGAGAGTGAGTACACCCTTGAAAAGTAAATAGGTTGCTTGGCATTTGATACTAACAGCCGTAACAGTTGACTACATTCTTTTCATCAAGGCCAATGTTGACCTGAATTTGAACCCGAATGAAGTCCGTGACGCCAAATATGTCACTCAAGATGAGCTTAAGGCTCTCTTCAGGGACCCCACATTGAAGTTTACACCTTGGTTCAAGCTCATCTGCGAATCAATGCTTTTTGAATGGTGGAGTAATCTGGATTCTGGTCTCGAGAAATACATGAATGAACCAGACATCAGACGCATGTAGATATTCGCTACGACTGTCCTTGAAACCGGATTGAAAACTTTCGAGCAAACAGGAGAAAGATAAGAAAAGCCAATGCATCAACAAGAAGCTACAGCCGCTTTGAAAATGGGCAATAAAAAAGATAGATAGATGGTCAACTGGCTACCGGCTAGAGATGGCGTCCTGGTCAGGGTTGATCAACATTGCTAGATATCCCCAACCCTTGTCGGCTCTTCGGAACGGGGCTGTTTTTATGTTTCGCCGATGGAGCGGCCAACTATGCATGAGCCGCACTATATACACAACACACGTTTTAAGATAAACCAACAAGATTTGTTTTGGGAGGTTACAACATGACAAGCCAATTAAACGAAACTCGAATATACAAGGGAGCAAGGAGGTGTGAAGCCCGCCTATCTCACGGTGATATGCTCTACCAGGCCCCTACCGTACCAATCATTGAACCCCTCATGTCCATGCGTATAGAGTGTGACCACTGACGACATATTATTGGTGGCATAGTGTGTTAGGTGGGCCACCTTGTCTATTTGATTAAGTCACCTTACCCAGGCAGGAGGTTTCGACGCCGTGAGGCATATATGAGCTCGTAGGTCAGAACAATCCAAGATGGACAAGGGAAACAAACGTCCCAAAACGGCTTTCCTGCCTATCAGAGAGGTGAACCCGTTTGAAGCGCCAGCACCTGAGATATGATCGATATTGTGATCACAAATCTCTAACTACCTACGGCGTACTGCAAGTATGAATGAGAGAGTGATGGTCTAGCCAACAGATGGCTAGAGTAACCCCACCCTGGCCATGCCGGGAAGGGAGGGTTGTCTGACTAGAGTAATACTAGTTGCATTGCATATGCCAGAAGAAGCCTTTGCTACTAGTTTATCATACCCGTACACACATCCAGCCAACCTAGTCACTCTAATCAGCTCCTCCAATCCCGTCCACCGAACTGCATGCCTCGCCGTGCACGAGGTCTTGTCACTCCCCGTCTCCGCGTTTACATAGGTTCCGATAAGCTGGGTCTGCCGCACTGTGGCCGTTGGCGACTGTACTGCTCGGCCTGGGCGGCCACTGCCGCTCCCTCCGTTGGTGATCTCAACCAATAGTTGGCTCTACGATGAAGTGTCTAGCTGTGCAGAGGGCGTCGCTGCAGCGGGTGCCCGTACCGCTGTTGTTTGTCACTGTACCCAGTCCACCTATTTGCCCATTTGCGGCTCAAGCTGACTGCTTGCTTGCCAGAGTATCTGCATTGGCATCCCACACCCCAGGTTTGAGTCGACGTCTTAACACTGTGCTTTTGTGTACAGCTCCGTTTCCTTCTTGTCTTTCCTTGTGTTGCCACTCTTAAGTACCCGTAAGACCCGCAGAGCCCAGTTTCCTGTCTCTCTCTTCCTCTCTCCCTTCTTTTACGTCTTCTCTAACAAGTCGAACCCTATCTCACAAGAACACCCAACTAGACCAATATCTTTCAGGCATCAAGTATCCCAGTAAGGCAAATCTCAATAGAGCTCTTTGCTTTTACAAATAGCATACGGCTCACCGCCTTTGCTAGGGTCTTATCGCTTTCAAAGAGCTACATTGTCGTCGCTCAAAATCATCTGGTCCTTTCTGTGTTAACCCACCCATTACTTATTGAATTCGGTTTAAATCGCTGCTACTTCAGACCTTTCACTCATAACTTGTAGTTATCCTTCGTCCTCACAACATCATCTGTGACGACGTCGATCCCTCGCAAGTACAATCATTCAGTTTTTAGGAGTCATTCACGGGCACATTAACATTGATGTCTGTTGACCTACGAACGAGCCTCAATTGCCTATCGCATCCCAATAGATTTATGCCTATCACCAGAAGTCAACTCTCAAGGGTTCATACTGGTGATAGTATACAGAATATTAATTCTTAAACTTTACGTAGAGTGAGTGATTGAACGAGAAAACTAACGCTTACGTTTCAATCAGCTTCGTGAGAGTGCTGACTTGCAACCACTTGATTCGGCTTTAGTTAGTTAAGACGTTACCAAGAAAACATTCAACTCACTCCAACATGGCGCACGTAAGCAGTAACGTTACCCTTGTTGCGACGAAGAAACGTTCTCTTGTCCCCGTAAACTGGGAGGATCAAGTTCGTGCTATTGGCATCTCGGAGTGCAAAGAAGCGGCGCACTCGCTGGCGCAAGCCTTTGCTACTGACGACCTAGCACAGTATCTTCTCGATGCCGAAGATGCCAAGGACGATGATGAAGCTAAGTGGAGGCTCCATGTCGACATCTTCAACTACATCGTGGCTGCCCACTGCTACAAGGGCGTTGTGACAACGATTGGGCCCGATTACGAGGCAGTAGCGCTCTGGTAAGGAGACATATTCCAGTGCTCATTGCCCTGGAAATAGAGAGAAAGCCATTAACATTTGAAAATATAGGATGCCGCCCGGCAAGGACTCAGATGACTGGCTGACTATCCTTCGCAGTGGTATGTGGAGACTCTACTATCAACTGTCAGCCGAGGGCCGGAGACGCTACTACAGCGAGCTACTGCCCGTCCTTCATCACACGAAGCAGGAGGTTATGGGAGATAGGGATCACGACTGCTACTATCTGGTGTACCTAGGCACTAAACCCAGCGGGCAGCGCCGCGGCTATGCAAGGAAGCTCATCGACCAGATGGCTGCCAAGGTATGTCTTATTGTCACCATATTAAATCACTATTTGTACATCCTTTTACACACTCTTTCTGCTCTACAACACATCTTGATCTACCACCCCTATCCACATCGTATGGATTGGGTCTCAACGACGTAATCGAAAGCCCTATCAAACCCTTCACTATTCCACCGTCAAAAATCATCAGATTAGAACAAAGGAAAAATGAGAGAGAAAAAAATTCGAAAATCTAACGGTGACTTTATAGGCCGACGCCGAGGGCCGCGCCATGTACCTCGAATCTAGTTCTTTGAAGAACAACGAGTACTACAAGAAGTTCGGGTTCGAGATCAAGCGCGATATCTACCTGGGTGCTGACTTGACGGCTACCACTAGTAAACCTTCTTCTCCTACCACCGGCGGCAGCGGGTCTCACGCTCCCGTGCGCCTCACCATCATGGTGCGCGAGCCCCGCAAGCTCAACCTCGCCCACTCGATCCCCATCAAGCTTCACAGCGGCTTCTCTCAAAAGGGCGCTCTATGAAAAGGCTTTTAACAGTATTTGGGGGTGGGCACAAGGAGGGCCGCAAAAAAAGGAAAGGAACGGGGAGGTTGGATGACTTGACGTGAACGCTGCTGATGACGACATTGACATTGATGATTGACAGTAGGACGCGCCCTTCGCTTTCTCTCTTCGGGCTTGCCGTTGCTATTCTCTCTCTCTTTCTCCTTTGTTCCTCGTCTGTCTTGTCCGTGCGTTCCGTTCCGTCATTTCCATCATCTTTCTTGATTTCGGACCGCCCCTTTCCTCTCTCTCTCTCTCTCTTCATTGGCGCCGTCTTCGACACTATCTATCTCGCGCCACTCGTGCTCGTGTGAAAGTGCTCGATGATGAGTTATGGTGATGCTGCTGCTGATGACGATGACGATGACGAATGATTTGATGATTGTGAAGTGGATTGTGCGTTTTGAATTTGCTCTCTTTTTCGCAGCTGCATTTAAACACACACCGTGGCGCCTTGAATTTTTCTGTCCCGTGTTTTTTTTTTTGCTTTGGGGGCTCTAATTTGCATTAGGGTTTTATCGGTTTTCACTTCCTCTTTACATGCGCTCGCGTTTTGTTGCTCGCTCACTTGATTGCACCAGGGCCATCTTATTCCATTCTTATCAAGTTCAACACGATTAACGGCAGACAGGGGGGGCGGGAATGGGGAGAACGTTTCAACAACTAGGTATCTTGCCAATTTAGGAGAGCTTTTTTTTTTTAGACGGAGGAACGGATTATTACTCTTTTCTCGGGTATTATCGTTTCTTCTCTTTTTATTTAGAGGTAGCTTAACTTGAGCTTAGCTTAGTTAGTTTACTTAGCCTGGTAAACCTTATACACACTTGCCATTCGTCCCTTTTTTGCCTTTATTTACTTCCTCTGTGTAGACATGGACATGAACTACGCCGTGAATTCATTCATGGGTTTTCTATACCCGCCTAGCCATTATGCGTCCTCAAATTTCCGTGATCAAATGTCGTAAACACCTAGCTAACGCCACCATTGCCATTTCATACTACGGCCCTCTTTCCCGACGGCAGGCGCATTGACCCGGGCAGAATTTGTGATATATCTTCGATGCCGTACTTCAAGGTCTCGGCATAAGGGATTCTCTACGTTTTTAATTGGGGGGGGGGGGGGGGGGGGGGGGGGGGGGGGGGGCGGGGCGGGGGGGGGGGGGGGGGGGGGGGGGGGGGGGGGGGGGGGGGGGGT